TGCTGCCCCTTCTCGTTATGCAAGTGGTGTGTAGTAGGGGAGGTACTTTCATGTGCGAAAGTGACTCAGTTCCCTCATCTTAATGTGCTCTTGACATGAAAGATTAATGTCACTCACACCCATGTTCCAGAGTGACTACTGGTAGTGACCCCTGATAAGGTTTGTACGTTTAGAGTTCTTTATTGGAGGTGCCTTCTCGGGGTAGCCCTGTGGCATCCCTGAGCAGAAGTGTGTGTCACGTCACACGGTGGTTCTGCCACGCTTCCTGGGGAAGAGGTCCAGATGCGAAAACTCACTTCTCCGTGGGACATGTGTCCTGGGCGTTAGCAGGACCTAGAAGTAAACAAACAAACAGTGGTCAGCATAGGTGAGTGAATTAATAGCACATGCTTTGGAGCTGCCTTTTTGCAGTGTCTAAGCAATGCCGTGCCAAGAAGATATTGCTGGTTGTCCCTGCTCCATGCATAGAAGAGGGCCCTCTGTGTAAGTCACCGTGATTGGAAGATACACATTTGGGCTAAGATGATAATGATCATCTTGCCTGGTCTTTCATGGTTTCATCTGAGTCCCCCCAGGCACACTGTGGAGAGAGGGGTCACTTCAGAGTCCAGAAGTTTCAGATTGCTTTTTTTAGTTATAAGGAATAAATATTTCTCTATTCAAGCTTTTTGAATCGGTTAATTCCAGTCATAGTTGAGATATGAACAGGCCACAAGTGCTGTTCTGGGTGCTGTGGAAACCTATACACAAGACAAAGGCTCCGTCTTCACGAGCGCTTGTCTGCTGGAGACAGATGAGGAGGTCGGTCCCTGCGGTGCAGGAGGCGCTGGCCTCTGAGACGGGACACTGCAAGAGGCTTTCAGCTCAAGGACAACCTGTTTTCCAGTGATTTCAGCTATAAACGCATTTAGTGGAAAACAATGTGGGACATTGTCTCGTTTGTTAAGAAACCAAAAAATCCACTACTATCAAGTCAATTCTAACACACAGCAAGTCAGTAGGACACAGAACTCCCTGGGGTTTCTGCAACTGTAAATCTTTACCCACTTAGCCACCAGGGTCCCCACCTCTAACTAAACACAGTGCCATCAAGTCACGTCCAGCTCATGGTGGCGCTAGCAGACAGGGTTTCCAAGGCTGTCGATCTGCACGGGGCAGCCAGGCTCATCTTTCCCCAGAGCAGGCGATGAGTTTGACAAAACCTTGTGTACCAAGAGGCTCCCTGTGCCGCCAGGGCAGGGTTTCTGTTAGCGCGTTCAGCCCTGTCTCAGATGGCAAATTCTGTTGATCTGCTAGCCATAAGCATGTTCATTGAAGGATGTTTCCTTTCTCCGGTGGCCAAAGTTGAGAGAGAAAAATTAATTTTCTTGATTGATAAAGTTATAGCACTAGTAAGATCCAGGGATGACCTTCAGAAGCCTGTG